AGAAGAGAAGAGAAGAGAAGAGAAGAGAAGAGAAGAGAAGAGAAGAGAAGAGAAGAGAAGAGAAGAGAAGAGAAGAGAAGAGAAGAGAAGAGAAGGGAAGCCAGGCTGAATAAAAGACAGTTGGAATACATAAATTTACTAGTCCTCTTTGTTCCCTGATATGCTGAGAAGACAGAACTCATCAAGTAGCCAGCATGAGCTTGCAGTTACAGTACTAATGGTTTATTTAACTGGCTTTCTGACAGAAGCTAGAAAGATACCATTGTGTTTATCAGTTACTCACGGCAGATATCAGGAGTTCTCCAGAAAACACAGGCCTCAGCCTTGGTACACTCTTGGGCATACGCAGCCACTGCAGAACAGAAGCACTCACAATCTCCACCACTGTCACAAGAGCAGGCATCATGAACACAAGCTTCATAGAAAGGATGTGGATTCACCTGTCAGGAAAAGAAATTATGCCCAGTTCATCTCTAAATTAGTTTTTAAACTAATATGTTTGAGAGCTCTTGATATATGGGAATTGAGCTGGGCAGGAATGAGACTGTGTCTAAGAGTCACAGCCAAATCACAAACATTTACAGTCTTGAAGCTGCTCAATATATTTTGGGGAATAATAGACCTAAAATCATATAGCTCCTTCACAGTTTGCTATGGCTGAAAAAAATGAAAAAGTAGGAGTCCTTGGCAGTGCCCACATATTCTAACAGAGTTCCATTTTAGTGCTCCCAAAACCAATTTGAATTGATGCCAGTGAAGTTTAATCTTTCAGCAAGCTTTGCCAAATGGTGAACAGTGTCAGAAAGGCTGCATTCACAGCAAACACGAAGCATATAATTTTATGCCTGCCAGTTTTTTTGAGTTTATCCAATGACTCATTTTAAAAAGTTGGTTGTTTTGGTTTTTTTTTGGCTTGAGACTGCAAGATGAGAAATTTAGACTGGATTTTTGCTGGAATAAAAAACAAACCACGTGGAAACATGGAATAAATTAATTAAATTAACAGTTGTTTGTGACTTTTCCACTGTGAGTTAAGAACAAACAGTTGTTAATATTGCCATACTTCAGAAAAGAGATGAGAAATAAAGAGAAGTCCTCTCTGTGTACTATACTCTGGAAAGTGTGGGCTGTCACCGTGTTTGCTGTGGCATTTTGGAGGCACAGTACCAGCAGCTGCCTGTCTAAACTATGTGATGTCGGTGGTCTCCAAGAATATCATTCTGTGGGTTGAATATTACATGAAGTAGCAGCTTCTTCAACAGCCACCTTTCATGTTTGAATTTCCATCAGGAGATGGGTCTGATGATTATAAAGTCCTTCAGAACTTTGAATACTGACTGTTTCTCAACAAGATGTGGTGCAATTGCAACAAACAAAGACCTATTCAGGCTAAATTTCTGAAGCTAACTTGCAAAGCAGTAGCAGTGAAACTGTAGTTATGAATATGGGTTTGTACAGCTGGGGCTGCCATCACCACTGACACAGTGCCATTGCTACAGAGACTTCAGACTACTTTGCTGCCATGTGAAAGGTACTAACACCCATGGCTGTACTGAAGACTTAATTGAAGATCACTCTATTTAACCATCTCTTCATTAACTTCTGATGCTCTTTTTGGTTCTGCATTTTCAGAAATGTGCTGTCCCRTCACCTACTGTCTTCTACAAACCTTGGAGTGACAAATTTTGAAGACTTCACTGTGGATGATGCTGCATTCTTTCTCTGCCCAGGACTTCCGGTGTGGTTTCAAATCACAAGGCTTAATCTCTCCTGTTACATCTGGGCACATGGGAGACTGCTTCCAGGAATTTCCAAACTTCAGAGGATTAGCATCCTGCAGTCCACTCCTTGCTGTAAAGTCATTGTTTGACTTGTCATCAAAGTTGCCACACAGACCACAAACTTTGCCCTGAAAAAGAAAATTCAGTTTTTAAATATACCATGGAAGTGAGAAACAGGCTCTGGTAAAATAAGAGCAAAACATTGACAAGAAAAATGACAAATGGCTGTCTGTGTAAATGATGACTTTCACCTTTACTGCCAAATCATTTGTACAGAAAGCAAATCTTTATTTGTCTGTCCTCAGCAAACTATTCCACTGACACGTCTTCCCTCTGTGAAATCAATTATATCTAGTGTATTTCCATATCTCTGTCTCCATATTCAACTGAAAACATTAAAAGATGGCCAAGCTGAAAGGGATTAATTTATTATCAATTCATCTCAATTTATCATAACTCACCTATTAATATAAGCCTAAGGTAATTCRTTTCTGCTCCAAGCTGTTTTTCTTAAAGGTCTCTAACATAATGAGCACCATTTCTTCATTCATGGAAAAGAAATGACAGGGACCCATTTTTCTTGAAAGAAAAATGTATCAATTTACCCTCAATAGTGAATTTTTGGTAGTGCTATTTAAGGTCCACCAGCCCCCTCAAGAAACAGTATGTTCCTGTTTGTACAAAGCCTCAATACTTTCCAGTTCAGCAAGCTGATTTTCAGGAACCAGAAATATGGCCATATATTGCATGGTTTTAACACAGACCTGACATTGCATGTAGGTTTCCAAGCACATGTGCAGTCAGTCCACATGCTCTAAATTACTTTGGATSATTGGCTCTCAATACTCATAAATTCAAGAGTGCCTGAGATGTTTATCTCTACTGCAATAAATGCTATGCATTGTGATAGACTGTAATAAACTCCAGAAGCACTTCTGCAATTGTGATGGTAATAATGCAAGCTAATCATCAGGACACTGAGGATGTAGGAATTAGACATGGAGTCAGAATAAAGGAACGTTTATTTTTCCTTGTCTATTCATAATACTACTTCAGAAAAAGWCAGGCACTCACTTTGTAGTCAGGACTCAGCTTGATGAAAACAGTAGTCTTCTTGTCCCAGATCAGCATCACACCATTGCTAGCTTCAATAACCAGGTACAGGCCGACTGTCCTGTTCCAATACTGCACATCACCACCAAYATCTCGCTGAATTTCTCTGTATTCTTTGTTCTCCAATTTCAGTTCAGTTTTCTGAAAGATAAAAAGAGAAATATTGTATCACTAATTTATATGATTAGACAAAATATTAGATACTCGTTACAATACAACTCATTCTGAAATCCATAGCTCAAACTCTGGGATGACTTCCAAGATGGCAGGGAGTGGTGTAGCACTTCTGTAGTTTTCATCACCTGAGAATTTACACTTTTGCAGAATAATTTGATAGGGCCTCGCCTCTAATGCTTGCTACAGCTGCTTTTAGGGGCATGACTTTGGAGCATTACTTTTCTGATACTACTTGATTACTGACATCTACTGACTGAGTATCATCACTCACCCCCAAAAACATTTTGATAGCCTTTGAGCAGGTGACTCCYGTAGTTCCACAAGGGACATTCTCCGTGATGATACTGAATGAGCCGCTGGAATTCTTGTCACCACAAAAGTCCTATTGCAAAAGACAAAAAAAGAATATGAGAAAATCAGGCAGAATATTTTAGTTATATATCATAATAATTGCAATCATTTAAATCTTCACTTACAAATGTGAGATGCTACATGCACATAATTTTACAGATGCACAGTCATATATGCATACTTCTATTCATACATATAAACAGTTAACACAGCCAGAGAAAAAGAGTGGGACAATAAAACGAGTAATATTTCTTTAAATATATGCTTCAAGTGTCTATGCTTAGGATTTGGATTTATTTCACAAATGACAGTTAAAACTCACTAYAACATAGTTCTGCTACATATAATTTATGATACCTATATCTGAAAAAAAAAAAAGCTACATTCATACAGCTTGCCTCCACTGAAAATACACAATTTATCCTGGCAGAATATGTGAACACCTCAGGAACAGTGATGGCAGACAATAAGGAAGGAAAAAACCAAAAAGAAAAGTAGATCTTTGAGGCAATCAAATTCCATTTCAGCCCTCCKGTTGAGCATTACCTGAGTAGCCACATATTCACAGCTCCCATCAAAGTCATAGAATTTCCCATCAAAAGTGATGTAATGGCCACTTCCATATATCATACAGGTTCCATAGCACACCTCCTCAGTGCATTTCCAAACCCCTTTTTGGCAGGTACTGGAAAAAAAGCAGAAAAGTTTAATTTTCAGATCTCACCAACAGTGTGGTTTGAAAAACTGCAGAACAAACCAAGCAGCTGCCTGATATAATGTGATAATGWTCAAAAATCCAAGCCCCAACTTCAATTGTTTAGCCTATTTTTAAGCCTGTAACACTATTTTTACTCTGTTCAACTACAATTTTTAGACCTGATAACATTTATATTTAAAAAATAAGTGAGTTTTCCAACAAGAGACGCCTACTGAAAACAAAGGTAACTGCTGCCCCCATATTTCCCACAGAATCTGTATCTTCTCAGCAATAAGTATACCTGAAAATTAAGCATGTTATTTCTAGCTTTTGCAGCCACTGTAGTACATAATCCTAGACATGACTGTTAATATACTGCACAGAATACATTTTAGAAAAGAGTATAAAATTATAATTCACCAGGTGTTGCAGTCCACTTTTATCTTGTCTCCAGAAGAATACCACTCATTGTTATGCATGCATGGGCAGTCCTTTTCCTCAACACAGYCCCCTCTGCCATCATCAAATAGACCTTCAGGACACACACAGCCTGAGACACACTCTGTCTGGAACTGAGGAATATGAGGAGAAATGGTTACCTTATGACAAAGCACTGTATTTTAATTGCACTTCTTCGTGAGCACTCTTTMAAAACTGCATTTACAACCAAACAGCCTAATATTGATTAGTATTATAAGGTTCTTTTTATCTAGGTTTCTAATCTTTGGGTTTTTTTTTTTAATTTTTGATTGTCTAAGAACCCAAATTCTTTCTCACTTGGAAATTATGATTGTACTGAAGACACAGTAAAAAGAAAGAGGAGAGGGAAGCCATAAGGGGATTCATCATGAAAATGTCAACAGATTAATATCATTGGGGGGAAAATAAGGGAAAATTAAAACAAAGAGAAATAAACTGTTAGTTACAACTGTATGTGCTATGTAGCACCAGGTCATTTAAAGAATACAGAATAAAGAAAGCAAGACATACAGAAAAGTTGAATACATACATGATCAGTTTGAGGAGTATGACAGCTAAGTTGTACAGGTGTTTGTGAAGTCCACTTTGAGGATGYATTGCAGTCGAAGTATGTCTTGTTAGAAGAACATTCTCTTTCACCTGAAATGTACATCGTTGGTTTAGATCAATCAAAAAAGGGCAAAAGAAATTTGAGTGAAAGGTGGTAGTTTCAGAGACAGAAATCTCAGYCTATCCTTATGAAAAAAATAGGCTCAGTGAAGAAAAAACAAAGTGAAAATGAGTTACTGTTTTAAATAAAGAGAAAAAAACACTCAAAACAAGTAAGTGGAAAATTCAAAAGGGAGGTAGGTTTGGGTTAGGAGGTTGATTATGGGTTTTATTCTAGTTTAGYTTAAAGAATGTCACTTACTTTTCATTCTTATTTTCACTGAAGTGCACTGGATCTTTGCATTTCGGCAAACACTAGAAAAGGGAAGTAAGTAGAAATTAGAAAAAAACCTAAGCCACATATCTTCAATTTAAGTCTGAGGATTTGTTTATGTAAATCTGAGAGTATTTATTAAAGATGTCCTGCATAATTTCTACAGAAATTTCAATGTCAATTCTGTTGAGCCACACTCATGAGTTTTAATTGAAGAAAAAGTGTAGCAAGATTTTAGGCATAACGTACAGAAAGGTTATGCTTTAAAGAATGACAGCTATTCTATTAATTGTTAATACTATGTTTTGTGGTAACTCAGGAAATAGAAAATAATAAAACAGGTAATAATGATCATTTGAATCAAAGCCTCCATTTGGATACACAGTGTATTTTCATGTCTATTCCACTTATGATGCAAATTTGTTGACATATATATGTCTTCTGCTGGATGAAAGAAGGTATTTCACAGTTTGCACTAACAACTTAGGCAGCAAACAGTTACCAGAGTTCATGGCAAAACATAACAGAATCATGAACTTTGTTTATAAAAGCCTATGCTACAGTAAATACATATTCCAGGAACCTTCCTCCAGTGGAAAACACAAGCTATCTGTGTCTGCTAGAAAAAGAAACATAATGTGAAGTTAGCCTTTTATCTTCCTCTCTCCTTCTGCTCAACAACACCTTATTAACAGTGCAGCTTCAGAATAACATTTATCTGTGAAGGCCAATAYTCACACCTCCAAAGCAAGCTGCTCTTCCCAGTTATTGTTCAATCGCATTGCAACACAATAATGCTTTGCTCAGCATGAAATTGCTCAGCATTACAAATGTTCATTAAAGTACCAAAAACCTAAGTACCTTATACCTAATAAGCAATTTTAAAGGGTTTTTTTTTTCCCCAAAACAACAAGCCAAAATGAAACATACCAGCGTTCTCCATCTTTTGTGAAATATTCCCCTGATTCCAGGTATGATCCCTTGTAATAACATGGGCACTGGGAGATGGGCACACAGTTATCCTGGTTATCCAAGTATGTATTTTGTGGGCAGCCACAGCCATCCACAGGAGCAAAGTGCTGCGAGCAATACTTTTCACCATCAGCAAGGGAACGACAGGTTTGCTGGCACATTGTAAGATTGTAAAGGAAGACCTGATTTCCTGGGCAAGAAGATGCTTCACTACCTGGAGGAAAAATAAACAAATTGATAAATAAGGTATGCAGAATGGACAATTTGATCTTGGCATTTCCATTTTGGTTTCTTTGGCTGTGCCCAATGTAATGATAAAAACATTCCCTTAAATCTTATTAAAGTACAAAAATATCAGAAGTCACATGTAACACTAACCTAACTTTAACAATTGAATATTTATTTTTAATGACTACTGACAGTTTCTACTTTCATACCCCTATTTGTTTCACATACTGATAATCAGATAGGGAGCACACTCCAATAAACTCCTAGTCTCAACCATTCTAAACTGTTGACAAAATTCAAGTGCAATGAGAAACAAAGACACTGATAAACAAATGCATGGTAAAAGCCCTGATGGCTGCGATTCCATTAGTAAATGAAATTATATTAGCTAAACTGGGGAAAGAAGGTGAAAGTTAAARTTAATGTTTTCTGCTTTCAAATATGTCATGATCAAATTCCATCTGAAGAATATAACATGAATTAGTAAACATTATAAGCAGTGTCTCTTTTAGGTCCATTMGACATTTCTAAGATACTCCAGATCCCTTAACACTGAGATCACTGACAACCAAATTCAGAGAGAGCCTGCTTATTTCTCTTGGTTAATTAATTTCACAGAGATTACTTTTCCACTACTTACTGCAGACACTCTTTCTCCAGCCTCCCAGTATGATCCCTTTGAAAGCACAGGCTCTCGAGTAAGAGGASAGGGCAGCACACAAACATTCTTCATTGTCTTCACAGAGGCAGGTGTCATATTTACATTTCTGAAAAAAAGATCAGAAGGTCARTAAGTACACAGGAAACCAATGGGCAATTGCAACTTGGTTGCTACAAAATGTCCTGTCTGCTTTTCCTAATGTTGTTTATATTAATTTCTCATGACCAGAGAAAATGGAAGGAATGGACAAAGACCAGAGACAGGAAGTGTTACTTCCTTTCATACATAATGAAAATATTTGGATGCTTATTCTAAYCTAAGCCAATTCTCTTGAATGTTTAAAAAGTAGCCAGCCTCCTAAGAACACCTTTTTCAAAGGATATTGATATTAATTATTCTCWGTTACTAATTAGAGAACCACAAAACCTAGAAATCATAAAGGTAAAATATTAACCAGGTCTATGAAGATCTTCACAACATTTACGCTCTCACTGACTTCCAAGTATAAGCAATGATTTTTGGAATTCGTTTTCCTCGGGTAAGCCTCACTTAGTGCTCAACAGAGATGAGCACGGGGGAAAAGAATTCATGGAGATTCTGGCATGAAAATGATTTGGTGTTACATTCCAACCAACATATGGAAATTTTTTTTTCCCAGCTTTATAGAAACTAATGTTTAAGACCTAAACTGTCTGTGCATCTCTTGAATTTTTTCTTGATAAACATCTGCATCACTTGAATCTTCTTTTCAGTCCAAATATCCAAGCCAATAAAAATGTACATTAAACACAAAACATAAGAAAGCAAAAAAACATGTACATTTTTTTCTACAGCAGTAGCCCACAAGGATCTCATCATGGGAGATACTTCAGATGCTATGCTGCTTGAGTCAGTCAATGAGAAAATTTCAGCAGCTCTTATGGACAAGATATCAGAGATGTCTCAAATGTTCAAACAATGATGAATGTCTGCAGTTAACCATCTGAAATAATGCAGTACTAAAAGAGTGCAAAGTTACAGTACCTTGTAGTATTCTGAAGGATCAATGACCAGGTGACATCTTGCAAAAGGACCCTTGGGGTTTTTCAGCAAAGAACACCAATGCTCAGCATAATTTGCTGCAAAAAGAGAAAGAGAAATTAATCACATTTCCTTATCTTCCTTGTGCCCTGCCTAGTTTTGCTGACACATAAATGTAGTGCAACCATACAAATGAGAGAAYTGTGTGCATTTGGGGGAGTGGGGAAACTGCAATCACCGTATATGTATTTTTATTCCTTGATTCAGAACATGCAATCATAAAATCAAAAATTGTATCTTATCACTGATGCCTTATCGATCAGGCTAATCCGAAACAGAGGCCAGACAAACTTAAGAGAATGAGAATAGACAATAATAGAGGTCCAACAAGCCTACTGGTACATTAGGGCAGACAAAAGCCTCCTCCTGAGGCTACACCCAAAATGGACATCATGTCACGAGACCTTCACCTTTTGTAAGTTCTGCCTTATTAACGTATKGGGTTTTAATTCTCCAATGATTTTTTTCAGGTGATGATGTCAACTACCCCAAACTTGCTCCCCCCMAACTCGCTATTTTRCATATTTTGGGGCTCTGAGGCAGCRAGGTGTCCTTGGATTCAGGCTCAGAGAGTTTTGTTTAAAGATGGGAGAATGGTAGTTTTAGTGTTGTACTAGAGAACTGTAAGAATACAGACGCATGAAAATATAGAAACTAAAAMTCCTAAGGCATCATCACTGCAACTTGTTTACATGGAATTGTGACAACTCTTTCCATTTGGGGACCATAAAGCTAAGTTAAACATAAGGCTCAATAATAGTAGGAGACACAAGTTGTCTTTACAGATAATACAAATTAATGACTGCTTTCCCCAATCTTCCAAGTTACGATTCTTTCATAATCACCCTCTAAACTTTCACTTCAATTTGATGGGAATTCAGTGATTGTGTATATACATACTTGCAGACAGTAATTATTAATTTGACAATCCTGTAAAAAATCTTCAGTGCCACACTACAGCTCTTACATGCTTGTTGCTGTGTAAGCAGACACTGCTCATYCTGGCAGAAGCCAACCACCTGGCTYATTAATGTGCTTACCACTTTCAATGCTGAGACTGCAGGGGTCTTCTAGGTTTTCTGCTTGGTCTCTGCAGGTGGACTGAGCTTTCCACATGTTAGCAAAGGCAGATCCCGTAGCCTCTATCAGCCCACTGGTTGTTCTAAAGTCATCACCTTCCATTCCATTGAAGTTTCCACAAAGACCTATTCGAAAACAAGGTAAACATTTTACATTATCATTACTTATTTGCATACTAAAAGGTCAAAGGAAAGGGAAAACTGATCACAAACATTAGAAACAACAGAGTATTCCACCTCAATATTAATGAACACTATAAAAACTCAAGTTTTAGAAGTCCTGTTTTAAATCTTCAACCTTTTCAAGAATAGTCAACATGAAGGTATCTGTGCTTCAKGAGATTCCTAATAGGAATTTTTTTATGCTTTCTGATAATATTGAAACCACAAAATGCACCAAAAACCTGGTTTTTGTGGTTAGTTAAAAATTAAACTGAATACAAAATTAAGCAATATCCTAAGAAACATATATGYATTGGCACCAGTGTGGTAAGTCATTGCAATACCAAAAAATAAAAACATATTTCTAGTTTGCTTCAGTCAATTTTCTTTCAGTTTCCTCCCCTTGAATCAACAAGTAGCATAAGTTATCACTCATATAAAGAATACAGGACTGTTCAGCTGTGGAACAGCATGGCTTTGCTTCCCTTTTGCATAGACACTTGCCTTGCAGTTTTCCTTTAACTGATTGATCAGCTGTCACAAACAACTGCATGACTCGAAACATCTGGATCTGCATCTGAAGCCCAAAAGAAGTTTGTACAACAAAGTAGTTGGAAGATGGCTTGAATACTGAGAAGCTAGCTGAAAAACAAAACATGAACTGTTGTAGTAAATGCACAGACACAGAGGCTGCCAAAAGAAACACTTCTTATCAGATTCTAATATATAACCTTCTAATGTATCTGAGCCCAGGATCAAATTCATATATTTTTCCTTTAAAAATCACTGACTCACTAGATATGATGCTGGTCCTCACTAACTTAATATGTTGATTACTTGTAATGACTCATCTCTGGAACTAGAACTAAATAAGCAAGTCTACACCATGTAGCCAAATTTGGAAAGTGCTCTTTACAGGCAAGTTAAATTATCTGCTTTAAATTTAGGCCACAACAACTCCCCTTTCCTAAGTTAAATGCCAAAATATATTCAAGAGGTATGAAAAAAGTGAAGGAATATTTTTTTCAATCATGCTTTGTATACAGAGTCACTCAGCCCAGGAAATTCTCAGATGACTATTAAACCACATTCTTCCCTGATTTTTTCCTAAATCTGAAAAAATTTGCTATGCCTCTATTCCACTTTTGCCTCTAAAAAATACATCCCTACAAGARAAGTCAGGTGTGTGACACTTGGCATACAAGGCTGTGTCCCTTACCTGACACATGAGGCACGTTCACTGGCATCTCATTCAGGAGCACACTGCCGTCTGATCTAAAAACCAGCACCTGCATTATGGCAAATAGAATCGATGAGGCTCCAGGACTGAGAGGAAAAGGAACTAATACAAAGAAAATTAACAGGAAGGACATTTTACACATTTAGGCTGTGTCTAGAACTCCAAATTTTTGAAAGGAAAAATTTGTCCAAGAAATGAATACAGCAGCARCCCTATAGGGTACAGGGTAAGGTTTTGTCTTACTATTCAGTGTTTCTCTYACATCTGCCTATAAGAATTCATAGCAGTAATGAAATACAAAACTTATTAATATGGGTTTCAGCAAGTAGAAGAAAATATCAAGTCTTCAGGATGTGTAGCATGTTCCTATTCCTTATGAAAGCACATGCCACAGCCTCTGAGCAATAGTTAGCATGATTCTGACACAGTACGAAAACAATTTATTAAACTTCCTCATAAAACCCCAATCTGTACATATAGAAACATAGAACTATTGGTTTGTGATTTGGTTTTCTTATGTCCTAGTTATGCTGGCAAGGACATGGAAGTCCAGAAACATGTGAGGAAAATCATGTGTATATGTATGTAAATCATGTATAGTCTATACATTCCCACAACCAAACAGAATACTAAAGTGAATATTTGAGAAGGKTGGATTGCATCAACATTCAAAGATGGTAAATTTTCTGAAAAAGGATCAATTMGATCTATAAAATCATGTCTGAATACATTAAAATACTATGAGTGGAAAAATAATGGTACTCTTGCTTTCAGACACCTGGAATCCTGTGAGAATAATCATATCACACAGAGCAGAGGAAGGAAGGAAGAGGGGAAAATGTCAGCTGTTTTGAATCTCATCTTTTGTTAAGTTTAGGTCTCTTGTGAATTCTTGAAGCAGAAATCTGAGTTGTTCTTCAGCCTGAAGTGCCTTATCTATCTACAGTAATGACTCTAGAAGAAATAAGTATTCATCTGCACTAAGGAAAACAAGGTAATTTTCAATATATTGAGAAGAATCCACAAAACAATGCTTACATTTTTTTTGTTATCCACTAGCAGCACAACAGTCTTTAAGCAGGTCTGCTTGTCTGTAGAGCCACAGGGAGCCAGCTCTGCCAGAAGAGCATATCTCTCATTTGCATTGCCCTACAATCACAGGGAAATAAATGTCCATTAGTCAAATTAAAAATCTCATTAGATGACTTCTACAACAAAGACTAAATTCACCAGTTACAATAACATTCCTAGCTCAACAAGATTTTCATCATTCTCTGGAAGAACAGAAATCAGATATTCTACAGACAGATGAATGAAACAGCTGCCTACCTCTTTTCCCTACCTGACTTTGGCACTCAGAAATAAAAGAGGCCAAGAATTTCTAATCCCGAGACCTTTTGATTTCTCATATATAAAGGACTCCACTGGATAGTGACAGTGTAGGCAATCTTCTATCTCACTGAGTTAATCACCCATTGCAGTAAGTCCCCAGCTTCCCCCTAGGGCTATTACAGCTAATCCTGAATTTTCTRGTACAACTTTCAGCATTTCTGCTTCACTCACCCCATGGAAGTGGAATAGAACAGTAACTTCCAGCTGATACATTTCAGCCCACACACTTTTGTTTTACTCAGCCCTACAGTACACAGTACCTTGGCCAACACGTAGTAACAGTCTCCATGGAAGGTGTATTTCTTCCCATCAAAGGTGGTAATATGGGAACCTCCTTCCACTGAGCATGTGCCTGGACAGGGTAAATCTTTGCAGGTCCATCTGCCTGAATTGCAGGTGCTATAAACAGACAAATAATGCAAAGAATACTTGTAGTTAGTACAGGAGCTGAGAGCACTGAAAGTACCTGTAAACCTAGAAGACAGCAAGATATCCCCAGGTGTTTTAAAACTGTATCCTTGACCATTTCCTAGAGATTTGCCCTCTGACATATGCCACAGATTCAAGAAAATTTTAAAGAAATGTTCTTCTATAGACATGCAACATAAAAATTAAATTCAGAATATTTTTAGAACATGTCCTATGACCAAGTGGAAGTTTAAAAAATGTAGGCCCACTTACAATCATTCAGAGAAAGGTGTATAATAACCATGATCCTTACCATTCTTCACAGTCATGGGAAATGGTTTCTCCAGGTGCGTATGTCTTTCCACCAAGTTTGCAGCGGCACTGGCTAACAGGGATGCAGCCTTTTTCATTGATGTCATCATACACAGTTCCTATAAAACACAACACTAACTATTCCAGCTCTTTTTAAAATAAGCAATTTCCCCAGAGAAAAAGCTCTAACTTGCCACACAGGCTGCGTTTATCAAAAACTTTTAAAAGTACTGTTTCTACTTTTTGTAATGTAAGACACATGGAAAGCACTTTTATTCAGCTTTGAAAATCCAAATCTATATAAATCCAAGTTCATAAAGAATAAACCCAAGTTTATATAAGTTTATATAAATCTATTTCTATAACTATATACAGATAAAACGGTTATTGCAAGTACGTAAGAACAATCTCAGAATGTGAGATGTTTAGATTTTTAGTCCTTTTGGCATACTGTCAATTGGCATATACTGCCAATAAAACTATCACTGTTATATTCTTTCTTAAGGTTGTCAGTAAGCCTGAGAATTTTACTCACTGTCCCTCATYGCCACTCTCTGGGCAAATGATGTCAATTGTCTCAGAACTATTCAACCTTAAAGCATGATTTTGTATATAGTATCAGAAGCCCACTCGTTGAGAATTAAAAAAGTTTATTACCTGTCACTATGTTAAAGTGTTTGAACGATAAAATATAAGATTAATGAATCAATTATTACCTCCTTAGGAAATTTTACAGCTATGTTCCTCTAGGAGGTAAAATAATGAGTAGCACTACTCCTTACTTGGTCTCTGATCTCTAAGATACAGTTTGCTTACATGTAGTATTTTTGTATAACTCCCCTAGCCAGGACTCTTGGTTTAGTCCTGCACACAGCAGCTAGAATAACACTTGCCTTCAGGGCAGAAACAACCATCCATGTAGTGTTCCTCACAAAGGCTGCTGATCTCCAAGTGTGAGCAAGTATCCATGCAGGGTGAGCTGCTTTCTCTGTAGACCATGGTAGGAGGACAGGTCTTGGCTGAAAGAATAAGAAAAGCACCACGAGTTAAATCCATCATTCCTGAGAAACCACAGATCATATACCCTACTCCCTTCAAATCAGTGGTGTCCCAAGCCAGACTCCACACGGCAAAGCATGTTCATCTGTTTCTGAACTGCTTTCCCTGGATTGCATATTTACTTTATATTTACTTCTTTTGGTTTCAAATAGATCAAATTATTCCCATCACCTGCAGCATCAGATCTCAGTTTTTTAATGGGAACAGAATTTCTACTTGCTGAAGATTTCTTAATAGCAAGACCAATAGAAGGAAAGAGGGAGAACATATTTTTTTGCACTACTGGTATGAAATTTAGAATGCATGCCAACAGTTTTGTAAAGCAGTAATGAATTTAAATTTCATCGTGCTACATTCATGAAACATTTTGATCTTTGTAAAATTTGTGTAGCTGCTTACGGCAAAAGTTCGGTGTCCTCCATTCTCCTGGGCGGCCTCCTGCGTGCGAACACTGRCGGGAATACTCAGAGATGGTGCTGCAGAGGCAGAACGAGTCCTCCTTCCCATTACAGGCACACTTGTCCTGCATGCAGGCTTGGATGTACATTTCCAAATTCAGACGTAGCCGGCAATCAGCAAATGCAGGGGAAGTCAGCAACTTCTGACACTCATCACGCTAAGGAAGAAGAGGATTAATGTTTAAGAAATTTGCAAGTATCTGAGATTCTGGACATTTCCTGTCTTTCCAAAAAACCCTGTTGTCTTCTGAACAGCTATTCCAGAAAGGAAAAAGTAACCATTTACCCTTGAAGGGACGATCTTCCCAGCTCCTTGCAACTAACTCTCCACAGCACAAGGATGTCTCCATGTGTCCATGCAAGTGAAGCCACCAACTAGGAATACTTACATGCCCGTTACAGCTTGGAAGAGCTTGAGTTTCATCTGGGTCTTCACATTTGGCATTGGGTTTGCTGATCTTCTGTAAATTCCCAAATGTAATTGGGTTGTAGCTTGCATCTATGAGAAAAAAAAGGTAGAGAACTTGCTGAGACCCAAAAATTGACAAGGAGCATCTGACTCCTGGGATTCTACTGATCAAGGGAAATAGTTACTATGGCATCAAATATGCCTGTTAGACGGAGGTATCTGCTCTGAATGATGTCTAACTGTGCTTTAAAATGCAGAGGAAACAAGAAAAGAAGGCTAGTAAAGAACAAAAATATTAATCTGGAATAGAATAAACTTAGATCAGGAATGCAGCACTGGAACTTAATGTTTAGTCTGGACCATCACAGGAACCTCTCAAGTGATATTTGCTCTCCTGTGATGTTTCTATGCACCGTGCTTGGCAGTCTATCTTCTGTAATGATTGTCAGTATGGTGGGATAACTCACCTCCCTTGATGAACTCATTGTAGATTTGAATTCCATTGTAATCCCCACAGAGACCACAGGTATGGTTATTAAATTTGTTGTCTAGCTCCACCTAAGTAATGAAAAGAAAAAGGAAATACATAAAAGAATTATCTTTTTTTCTTCCTTTTTTTCCCTTTTTTTTTTTTTTTCCTACTGATAGAGAAATATCCCAGGAAACCCAGCAAATACCCATATAAAAAAACTTTGATTATACATACCATCAGGGCATCCTGCTGGTTCCACATSAGAGTCATGCCTAATTTGGCATAAATCTTGGTGTAAATGTCGTTGCTCTCAATGAGGACACCAGAGCTGTAGTAAGGTGTCTTGACACTAGGAAGAAAATCAGAGACTTTGCATTAGGAAACATAATGATTGACATGAATGTCTGTAATAAGCCAAAGACTCTAAATAATAGAGAAACTAGTCTGACTACCTCATCCTAACTGCACAGGATGCCTTGKTTTAATGAGGGATAAAGTCCTCTCTGACACTTGGGACGATAKCTCACCACAAAAACTCATTTAAAAGGCAAAGCAATATCAGAGGAAAAGCCTACCCAACAGTTTGGGCTCTCTAATTAAACAAAAAAAACARACAAAATGTCAGATGTCTTCAACTTAATCAAAGGAAAGTCCATCATCATTGTGGCTCAAGAGAGACTTCAGAAAGCACAGGCAGGTACAGGGACTGCCAACATAATTTTGAAAAGAAAGGAGCATGTCAAGAGGAATTCAGTAGTTCTTTCACTAGTTAGTGATTTAGTTTACAGTGGACAGGACTGAGCTTGTTAATGGTGACAGAATATACTTTGCAGAGGAYGGAGCACAGATATTTTTGTGTGCTAACAATTCAGTCAGATGCCTTCCATGCTCTTTAATGTCTGTCTTACAAGTCAAACTGAACTACTTAAGGGATTGTGACAGGCATCCCATAAAATCTAGAGAACTAGAGTCTGTTCAAACAGAAGTAATGTAAACTGGAATCCAGTCAAAATAAATTGTTCATTTTCTACAGATTTGTCCATATAATTGCCATCCATCGGGATTTATACATGTGTATGCACATCTCTTAACTGGTCTCTGGACTCTCCCAATTTCCTGCTTTTCCCAACTATTTACCTCAGGCATTTTTTACATGGCCAAATGACTCACACATCTTAATACCAGGTGCAAAACTCAGAGATCATTATTTCTACTTTTGATGGCATTGTTCATCAATTAACAATGAAGTCCTGAGAGATTATATTTTTCAGTGGGATTATAAAATGTCAGGCACCTTTTCAGCTTTTAGATATCACAACATGGAATATTTATCTTTTTTTTTTTCAACAGTAGGACATTCAGTCAAGCAGTGGATCAGGTACAATAAGGCTAATCCATACCCTTTTCTACTTCCCAGTTTTCACTTCAGTACTGTGAAATGCAATTGTACATGACAATTGATCATTTATCATTTCAAGACTAATATGAAAAATCTACAAAAAACTAAATTACTAATGCAGCAAAAAACTGTTCAGAAGGTATCTACTGCTTATGAACATCAACACAAAAAAGGGCTCAATTTGAGAGAAACCATTTTAAAAGGATTYCTAATTTGTTTTTCATGGAGTTTTCCAGTTTCATGGAGTATTTTTAAGACCTGAGTATAGAATAAAGAGCTTCTTCAGTTTGGGGCAAGAAYGCATTTTTATAACTGTCTTTTTTTAATGCATTCTGATACAATGAAATCTTTTAATGCAATCTTTGGAAAACTGAGTTACATTCAAACTTTGAACATATTTTAATTGCAGTGGCTTCCAAACTTTAGAGCAAAAGCTGAATTCTGGGCAAAACTGTGTCCTACAATGACAATTAAAAATTTTCTGGTTTTTTTCAATTATGCTAAAACATAGTAATTAACTTACGAGTTTCTTCACTTATTTCAGAGAGTATAAATGCACACACTGAAAGCATAAGCTAAGGATGAGGAAGACTAAGTTAAGACACTACTTAGCATCAGTAATGGTGTCAGACTAATTTCTTCTATGATCATGTTATAGGAGGAGAAAATACCACTGCTTACTGTGAAAAGGTACATATTGCCACATATAAATTAGGGTAAATTTTGACATGTGTTATATCTCTAAAGTCCCTAGAGGAATGGCCATCAGATCTTAAAGAATTATTTATGAAGATCAGAAAAAAAACCAAACCTTTCTTTTGTCACAAAATAAGAGGAAAAAACCCGAGAAATGCATTTCATTTTTGAGGATTTGCTAGGCCATCTGCACAGGTAAACTCAAGGTGATTCCATGAAACAAATGAAGCTTTGTCATTTTAAGCCAGTGAAAGATCTGGTTCATGAGCTGCACTGTTTTCTGCACAACTGGAAGAACAAATCACTCAAACCTATTCCTGACTTGCATTTAAATAATCCCTTATGCCAGTGTAGAAATGACAGTTAACACTGAAGCCCCTCTCCAAAGCAATTTTAATGCTGAATTTCAAAAGATTTGTTTGTTGGGTTGTTTGTGGAAATGCTCTGCAGCAGTTTTCATGATGGTACATAGACAGTTGTGTAAAGAATCAAACTGCTATTACCTTCCCAGCACATTTCTCTGAAATACCATTATGTTAAAGGAACTTACATCCGCCCATCCACCACAACCAGGTTTGGTTTGAGGTAGACCTTAATATCCTTGATTTTCATCAGAATATACTGGATCTCAGGGTGGCCATTGCTGTTGAGAGCACGCTGGATGTGGACAGAGAACTCCTTGTAAGCCTCCCGGCAGTCGGAAACAAAATTATACTCGCAAATGCCAGGGAATTGGTAGACATCTCCATCAAAAGTTTTGAAATGGTTGTTTCCCCAAGTGCTGCAGACATAGTGGCCATGGCTTCTTGTTCTTCCTGTTAAGGGATGACAAAGAAATAAAAATTAAAAGAAGTGTAATAAATGAACTACTGTGAAAAATGTAAGTGTTCCATTTTACAGTAGAAAGCACTTGCAATTACGTGCACAGTGGTTCCACAGATTTCCAGCCTGATCAAGTATCTGCCAGTTCAGCAGAAAATATGCAAATCTCCAATGGAAAACAAGATATTMATAAATAAATAATTCTGAGACCAGGAAATATCCATTAGCCTCACAAAGGTGAAGGAAGTTATCTGCGTGAGGTGGGGAAACTAAATACTGATCCCTTACAAGATGGTGCTTCAGTGCAATGGAACTTTAGTGCCAAGTGCATGATTTTGTTCTGATTCACAGTATTATTTTTAACAATATTAAATATTTACAACAACTACCTTCTYCTTTGATGCAACATGTACTAGAGAYGAAACAGATAGGATATCAMGAAAGTACTACCTACTATGGAAGGCAAAAAGTTTAAGTGTTATGAAAGGGCTTGTGCATAATAGGCATWTTCAGGGAATTATTTCTTTTCCTGAAAGCAGTAGTGATTTCTATTACTATAGGATACAAATTCGTCAGAAGATAGGTCATAAAATAACCACAGTAGGAGGGGAAAAAAAAGTTTTTGCAATAGCAAAATATGATTTGTTCCTTTCCATGTCATCCATACCAACAAATAATACAAATTAACACAATATCTGATAAATCTCCAGATACTGTAGATTCTGGGTGAACCATAAAAGCTGAGCATCCTTGKGAATCTTGACATGTCTCTCATTGTCACAAGATTTTCTTGCAGCATTTAATATGAGAAAGCAAAACTGTTAAGAAAATCTCTAGGTTACTGTACTTTGATGGTATCAATCATACTGGACGCATCCAGCCAAGCTGGAATGCTTCCCTCCCCAGAAGGAGGGCTGCACAGAGATCCTCCCAGAGCTCACAGCTGGGAAACCAAATGCAAGGAAATGCTTTCCTCCCAYTGCTGAATTCAAGACACAGCAAGTTCAATAGCCCAGACCTGATCACTGGATAAAATTCATCACCTATTCCTCTAAAAACCAATTTTCAGTACAAGTGGTCTTTTTCATCACTTCAAAGTCGATAGCAAATACAGTAAGTCAGAACTGTAGCAAATGTGTTAATAACATCCTTAATGACAAAATCAGCTTTGCTCAATGCTATTACATTCATTTTTGAAGAATAATTTATGTTGTTCCAAAGTAACAAAAGACACAATTATCCAATTCCTTCATAGATGTAACAATGAACCTCTCAAACTCCTACAACTACGTTCTGCCAAGTAGTTGCCATACCAAGGTAAGRCTCAATGCACAGAAAGAAAAGTAACATTGAAAATATTTTCCAACTACATCGAACTAGAAACCAATGCAATAAATATAGGCACTAATCTATCCAAAGAGAGTAGTATCTACCTATTTTGGCTGAGCCATGCAGCCTCAGTATTCGCAAGCTTAAGAAATGTAAGGCATCGTAAAACTTCAGAGAATTATTTAAATGCAATGCCTCCTCCTAGCTCTGCAGCAGTATTTTAATTCTCTCCCTCTTTTCCCAGAGGCAATCTGCTACTGTTCCATCTTTAGAGCTTACCTTTCTTAATTTCATTAGCAGAGGAAAGAGCCAGCCAGAGTAGGAAGAGGCTGGCCGCTCTTAGCCCCATGGTGGCTAAGGTGGGTGAATGGAAGTTCGACTGAAAATTCGGCTTTTTATAATACTCACTGATGCAATTGATTCTATCATAGGGGAGGAGATTCCAAGGGAGGAGGCAAGAGGAGGGGTAAAAAAAACAGGTGTGATATTTACAGAAGATAAGAAGTAAACAGACAATCATTTTTCACCATAAATTAAGGAATTCAGCATACAGGAAACGGTATAATATTGATTCAGTTATCATGCAATTTTTTACTGCTCTGTTTCATCTACAGGATGCTCTGCTTTTAAATCCTTCAAATGCTCATGCCAAGTTTAACCTTCAGTAACTCCTATAAAAATAAAGAATTTTGGGGTGGCTGAACAAAAGATCCCTCGAAGAAATTTTTAAAGTGAGATGCTCAAACAATGGCTTCCAARCCAATGAGTTTTTCATTTTTCATCATCACATAGAATGATTTCTGTAAAAATTAGGTGATGCTTGTGAAGCTCCTTGTAGTTAACAGTAACCCTTACAAATAAAAATGGCACATCWTGCATTGTAAAATTATTTTGCAGGAAATTATTGCATTTCTTCAATTTGTAAAGCTCTGGGAAACATCTAAACCAAAATACTACCCATACTGCATATTGGGCCCAAAACATAATGGAGACATGGTGACAAAGTAAGTTCATGGAATTCACAGTAAAAGAGGTGCTCTTTCAAACATTGTCACAGTGCAACAGAAAGTCCATCAAAGTTATAGAGATTCTCACATCATATTAAGCTTTATAGGAAAAGTAAAAAAAAAAAAAAAAAAAAAAAAGGAAAAATGGGAAAGCATTACTGTCCATAATCCCCCTACATAATCTTACTTATTCTTGCTTACTTTCTACACAAATGATAAATTTACAGTCTGCTGTTCCACATCAGATCCTACAAAAGCTACAAGATCAGCTTCGCTTTGTGCAGAGAAATATGAAGAGGGTGCTTGGAAGAAGAAGAAAGCAGAAAACAGCACCAGGAGCCAGTTCAGAACACTGCTTCAGAAATACAAGATTTCCACATACACCATCTTTTGTGCTGGCAAGTTCCTTTGAGAAGGTGTTTCTGCAAGTCTCTTCAGAAGACAAAACATAGGATCCTTGAGGTAAAGCACATTTACTTCAAGAGATCTTTTAAAACATGTGCTTCATAGCATTTAACAGGGTTTATTTTTAAAGCTCTGAGGCCAGGCTCTAGATTACCTTGCAAAAAATTTCAATGCACTGTCCATAGGTCTCTAATCTACTTAATCACTTAGAATGTTTCTTACTTTCATTGATCATATTACAAGTAGAACATTACATTTTTCAAAACACCAAGGAAACTTTTTACTTAGCCCTTTTCACTATTCTTGTTAAATACAACCATCATTTTTTCATAGAARTATGTTCTTCAGCTGCTATTTTCTTTGATTTAATATTTTTATCTAAACTATAGCCTAGCTTCTGCCTTAACATCTTCCTGTTTTCCCTCAATATATCTCAAAAGGTTTTGGATTTTCTCCTTTCTTTATTTGAGAATACAGATTTGTGTTTCWCTTTCCCATATATGGTGTATCACGCAACAATCCTGACTGCAAGTAAATACTAGYCCTTTTCTCCTTCATCAATCTATTACTGGAAGAATATAATTTTATTTTCCTTCTTGGAAAATAAAAATAAACCCATTAATAACCGGTTAGAACCAACTATTTAGAGAATAAGAGAAGAAACACTGCCTACAGAGACCTTTACTCGATGGTTACTTTAGCAGATCTAACTTCTTACGACACCTCAGAGACATCTCCCAACTTGACATTTTCTGTCTTTTATGCCACCAAAACTCTTAGCTTGGAAGTATTTTCTAAAAATACTTCAGAGATTCTTAAAGGACTGCATTTTGCACTTTTCCTCCTTGTGTTTTTCTAGGTAGCCTCCTGGCTAGACTTATTGCCTCAGAAAAACAGTCTCCATGACTTAATCCCTACACAATTTTTGCAAATTGCAACAGCAGTCATGTGCACAGCAATCCTGACCCCTTTTTATATTAAATTGGATGTGTATGTTCACAGGTGTAAGTTGGAAATATGCATATTTTCAATTCAGGTTTATCTGTCACAAAATTTCTAACCTGGAACCCGTCTCATTCAGTTCTTGGGACTGGGAAAGGTAATCATCCTTCAACAAAAGTTGCACCATTCCTCAGTTCAATATGCTGGTATTTTATAATTTTAATATATTCTGTGCTGGAGAAGACCTATTTTTAGCCAAGCACCTCTAAATTTTAATGACTAATTTACTTAGCTTTTTTCTGCCTGTGCAGGGAGCATGATTCCTTCTTSAGCTATGAAGTTCAAGAGGCCTATTTTCATTCTCCAGTATGCTTTTCAGAATGACCAACAAATTCCCATTGTCCCTTTTTCTGTCATATGTGGCTTGCTGTGACATCCCAAACTGGAAAACAAGGGACATCAACATGCCTTTCAGCACTGAGACCCCTCTTACAGAATTTGCACTTGAGCTAACATGGCTGTGATGATCTGAAGAGAAGTAAATACAGATCCTTATCTTCAAAAGTCCGAGGCATCTGAACTTTTGCTAGCATAAGAAAGCGTCCTAAACTATACTGTCTYTGTTTCCTTATTGCCAGAAGGGTAATGATCCTGTCTACCAGCTGCTTTATATGTCTTTCAGAAATAATAAGTCTTTGAGGTAGACATCATGGCCTGTTTTATTTCTTCTTCAGCTACCTTAAAGCTTTTTGGACTACACAAATTAATCCAGAAGAACGTCAATGATAATGCACAGAAAACATCCATATGTATGCATTAATTTATTTACTATAAATTGTTTGACAACATGAAGTAAGCTATAATTTTTCAACAAAGTTAATTCTCCTTTTTTAATAGCATCTCTGCCCTAAGCTTACATTTGTTATCTATATCTGAGTTGACTTTTATATGGAACTTCATTCCATTCCTTGCTTCTAGTCCCCTTAATCAGAAGTCACCTTTGTCTTTCCAATATCAGGTGTTCAGGTGCCTTTATTTCCAAAGATACCATTTGCAATTCTGCATGCTATCACTGTGCAAGTGGCACTAGAACTAGTGACAAGAAGGATTTACGCAGCTGAGTATTAATAGGGATTTTTTTTTAAGCTCCTGAAGTCCATGAGTAGCAATACAACTTCCCACAATCTTTCACTGTATATCTGACCTAGGAGCTCCAACACCACTGCTACAAAAGTCGTTGCAAAAATCCAAAGCTTTAAAAAGAAAAATCAGTTGCATGGCAAGTGTGTTTGTTATAGCAGCAGATGCATAAGGAGAGATAAAAAATGTTTTGAGTCATAGTTATGTCAATGCATTGTTTCCCTACTCTTAAAATTTTATGAGAGTATTTCCAATCATTCCATCAGCATAGCTAACCTTTAATGTTCATTTAGTTACAGTGCAAATTTATTTTGCAATATACTTGTTGCTAAAAAGAGAATCTACATGGGAGATTATCTTCATTCTGAATCACATGGMGGAAGAATATGGCTTAAATGTATAATTTGTATAACTGTTAGATAAAATTCAGTAGACTAGGCTAGGTTTGCTGTTTGAGGAAGAATAAATAATTTTTCAAAAATCTGGGGTCTGTTTCTATTGGTTAACGTACCAAAAAGAAATCTAATTGCAGTCTTGCCACAGCAATCACAGGATGACCACTGTACAAATACCTCAGAAACTACAATTACACTTGGTGACTGAGTTCTTTTCCATACCTGCTTTTGTATTCCTGACTTGTTGATCACAGGCTTCCAAACCAAGAATCAATGTTCTATCAGTAGTGTTCTGCAGAAGTAGCCATAGGATTTTGTTCTGCTACTCTCACCCGCCAGAATTTCACCAGAATACACAAAGACTTACCCATGACCATACAACTGCACAATAAACACATCACTTCTTTTGTTTCAAGCATAGAGGTGGGTTGTCTGCACTCTCTTGGCAGCCATTCTAAAATAGCTTTTTAAAAAACTAGTCAGATTACAAATTAAGAGGTTTATCATACGCACATCACTGTACTTCCTTGACTGGGACACTTAAGCCCTCTATAGCACACCTTGACAAAACTTAACAAGCAACAGAAACAAGCAGCAGAAGGCTGAACAGTGTATGAAAGGGTGTCAAAGCAATGACAGGGGAGTAATGGGTATGAATTTCATTTTGACATGCATGCTGTCAATGGATTAATCCAAAATTATCAACACAAAAAGAGCCAATATTTAGATGGATGTAAAACTGGTATAGAGTTGCTGAAATTATTAATTGTTTCTATATTATTAAAGAATTAGAAACAAGTGGCAAAAAGCATGCCTATAACCAATTCACTGCCCTCCCAAACTTCCTAATGAAGAGCCACCACTTACTATTTTTTATGGAAAGAACTTTAATACACAGTTCATTTAAATGTATTCAAGAGTCAAGCTTTTATTTAAAGYAGTGTTACAAAAMTCCACATACTTTTGATTGATCCTGGSTCCCTTCTGGAATCAGGCTAGTATCATGCAATTAATTATCCTATCATTTTACCCTAGGGGATTCGATTTCTGATTGGACTAATCTCAGCTCTACCTCTAATTTCATCACTGTGACCTTGAGCAGCCTTTGGGTTATGGGCATTACTTTTGATTCCAACAAATACAATAGTGAGAGGTACCTGCTGATGCTGACTGAAACACAGCGTTCTCACATGCCCTTCCTTACACAGTTTGGCATAGAAATTTTAAGAATAGCATCCATTTTCCACTCATACTACTTTCTTCTTTGAAAGCTCATCCTCTGAGACTAAGTTGCAAAACATTTCCTTCTCTTCCAGTTAGATATGAGAGGGGATAAACACATGATACTCAAGATTAGAAAGGGATGTAGGAAATAGTAACTTCAACTAGTAAGCTTTCCTGCCAACACTTAGCTTCTGGAAAACTTTAGTCTGCAAAAAGCCTCAGCACAGCAGCTTCTG